CACTCCAGCCTGGGTAACATGAGTGAAACTCCGTCTCAAAAAAAATAAATAAATAAATAAAAATAAATTTAAAAAAAGAGTTTCGCTCTTTTTGCCCAGGCTGAAGTGCAGTGGCACGATCTCAGCTCACTGCAACCTCTGCCTCCTGGGTTCAAGCAATTCTCCTGCCTCAGCCTCCCAGCTAGCTGGGATTACAGGTGCCCGCCACCACACCCAGCTGATTTTTGTATTTTTAGTGGCTGGTCTCAAACTCCTGACCTCAGGTGATCCACTGGCCTCGGCCTCCCAAGGTTCTGAGATTACAGGCATGAGCCACCATACTCCGCCATAACCTAGCTTTTAAAAAGTTAGTAATTTATCGATGGGCATGCAGTGGGTGTCTCTTGGAAATGGCCAATTTTTATTAAAATATTTCTGGAAGAAAATTTTAAAAAAAGTGATTACTGTTGCTAACAACCTGAAACATAACTGAATCTTAAGTGTGAAAACAAGCATTTATTGGGCTGGGCACAGTGGCTCATGCCTGTAATCCCAGCACTTTGGGAGGCCAAGGTGGGTGGATCACCTGAGGTCAAGAATTTGAGACCCTTTGGAGGCCAAGGCAGCTGGATCACCTGAGGTCGGGAGTTCAAGACCAGCCTGACCAACATGGTGAAACCCCGTCTATTAAAAATAAAAATAAAAATAAATAAATAAAATAAAAAGAATTTGAGACCAGCCTGGCCAACCATGGTGAAACCCAGTCTCTACTAAAAATTCAAAAATAATTAGGGCATGTCGGCACATGCCTGTAGTCCCAGCTACTCAGGAGGCTGAAACAGAATCACTTGAACCCTGGAGGCAGAGGTTGCAGTGAGCCAAGATCATGCAGTTGCACTGCAGCCTGGGCAGTAAAATTAGACTCCTCCTCAAACAAACAAACAGCTGCAGGGGTGGGGAGGGGTGGAAAAAAAAAGAAAAGCAAACAAACAAAACCCAAAAATAAAATAAAAATAAAAAACAAGCATTTATCTAAAATAATGCCTCTGAGGCTGTCCTCCTTATCATTTCTTCTTATATGTAACATATTTTTCCTCTTTGTTTTCTCTCTCCCTCTGTGTAAAAATTTGCAACTGTTTCTTCTGCTTTTCCGTCTCTTTTTCTTTTCCTTTGATTACTCTCCTCTGTTCTACCTCTCCCTTTTGTCTTTTGACTTATCAAAATACAGAATTCAAGTGCATTTTAAAGTATACTTGGATCTTTTTCTGAATTGTAATAATTACCGTTGTGTTTTGCTATTTCTACTTTTAAAAATAGATTAATTGAAACTATTCTGTTATTATGAATAAATTAAATAGCTTGTAATTTGGAATTGGCCTTCCATTGTACCCACTCCCAACCCAGCTTACAGGTATTAAATGACTCCCAGTAGAAGAAAAGATTTCCTACCAAATGCTGTGATAACAACTATTACATTTGAATTTATTTTTTCTAACAGGAACAATACTAGGAAATCTTTGTAGATTTACACAAATCTCCGCATGTCCAAAGTTCTATACAATTGACCACAATGCTTCATTTCGTCAAAAGTTAGTTTTAGGCCAAGCACACAGGCTCACGCCTGTGATCCCAACACTTTAGGAGGCCAAGGCAGGTGGATCACTTGAGTACTAGCCTGGGCAACGTGGCGAAACTTCACCTCTGCAAAAAATACAACAACAACAAAAAAAAAGTAGGCTGGGCGAGGTGGCTCACTGTAAACCCAGCACTTTGGGAGGCTGAGGTGGGCAGATCACCTGAGGTCAGGAACTCAAGACCAGCCTGGTCAACGTGGTGAAACCCCACCTCTACTAAAAATACAAAAATTAGCCGGGCGTGGTGGTGGGCACCTCTAATCCCAGCTACTCGGGAGGCTGAGGCAGGAGAATCGCTTGAACCTGGGAGGTAGTAGAGCTGAGATTGCACCATTGCACTCCAGCCCGGGCAACAGAGCAAGTCTCAATCTCAAAAAAAAAAAAAAAGTAGCTGAGCGTGGTGGTACATGCCTATAGTCCCAGCTACTCAAAAGGATGAGGTGGGCGGATCTCCTGAACCCAGGAGGCAGAGGTTGTTAGTGAGTCAAGATCGTGACACTGCACTCCAGCCTGGGCAACAGAGTGAGACTCCGTCTCAAAAAAAGAAAAAGAAAAAAAAAAAAAAGAGAGAGCTACATAAATACATTCCCTTTTCCAACCAGATTCTTGCCCCCAAAGGCCTTCCTATAGAGAAATTTTACAGCTATCATAGTACAGTTCTATAACACAAATACAGAAAAGCATGATCATATGAAATCGATATGTTGAAGGAATAGTTGCAAAAGAATTCTGCTTACAAAGGATTTACTTTGCAGTGCTTTTTTTAAAAAAGCATGTTTTCCTCATCTATAGTTAAATTTACAAATTTTTAAAACAGGTTTTGTTTAGTACATTACAAATGTACTAAATGCATTTTCAGAAATGCATCTTCTGGGTAACTAAAATTATCTTTTGTTCCCCCATTGTCTAACATAGATGATAATATCCTAATGCTGCACCTCACAGCTAGTTGTTTGTTTGCCTCTATTTTAACAGCAACACCTCAGACTGAGCTTTGTGTGGAAGAAGTGATCTCAATCAGGAGATCAGGAGCTACCCTCATTGCAACCACATCACTCCACTTCCACTTCAGATATTTCTCATCTCTAAGTGGGGAAACAAATATGCCACTTACTCTAAGTAAAAGAAAAAATGATCAGGAGGACAAGTTTGAAGATGCCTGTGAAAGTATCCCTATGGCAACAAAAATGAATCTACTATCTTCCTTGGAAGAATGCACCACTGGATTGTATTTATTTCTAAATAACAGATTCTCAGATGCAATAAATCTCATTCATCCATGGTCTAAAAACAGCATGTACCATTCCCTAATGTATAGTTTCTTTATGGTTGTCAAGGCCATCCTGACTTTTGAGCCACAGGATTTACAGATTGGAATGATAGCTGCAAAGGACGCTTTGAACACCTGTAACAATTTCCGAAAAAAAACTAAAATGACATTGTCTCATCTAGTAAGTAAACAGGAAATAACAGCTATCACAGAAGAGGAATTGCATGCAGAAGTCTGTTATGCTGAGTGTTTGATCTTGAAATCCTTCATATCATTTATACAAGATGAGAGCATGCTTGCTTTCCTTAAAAGCGGGATCAGTTTTGGGTCAAGTTACCAAATATACAAAGACTGTCAACAGGTATTAACACAGATACCTGACAACCAAAGCAAAACCCACAAACACCTGGTTGGAGGTGTAAAATTTGGACTTGGAGCATTCAATTTGATGTTATCACTTGTGCCACCAAGGACACTTAAACTACTCAATATTATTGGATATTCTGGTGATAGAGAAGTGGGCTTGTCTTTGCTTCATGAGAGTGCATCTGAAACTCACATAAATAATATCATAAGTCTTTTGACTCTACTCTTTTATTACAATTATGTCTATGTAACTTTTGGTGTTGAAAAGATTTCCAATTCTACAGAAGATCTCTTCCTAGTATACCTCCAGAAATTTCCAAACTGTGTCATATTTAAATTTTTTCATGCACGTTCTAGTATGTTGAAAGGAGATTTTGAAAATGCACAGCTAAAATTACAGGAGTGCATTTTTACTCAGAATGAATGGAAGCAGTTTCATCACCTCTGTTACTGGGAATTCATGTGGTGCCACATTTTATGGCAGGATTGGAGGCAAGCTTACCACTATGCCAATCTACTGTCTCAACAAAGCAGGTGGTCCAAGGCAATCTACATGTACAGTAAAGCTATCATCCTGGCTTTGCTTCCTTCTGATTTTGTGAAATCAGTAAGTGAGGATATAAACTCTCTCTTCTTAAAAGTGGAAGGCCTGAGAATCAAATTTTTAGGCGGTTCTGTGCCAATAGAAAAGTTTGTTGCGGAGAAGGGTCAGCGCTATGGCACTACAACAGGCTGGTTTACAGCCCAACCCCTTCTGGAGTTCATTTATGCCTGGAGTGGTTTCCGAGTCATGAGCAAAAAAGTTGAGCTTATTTCAAGCTGGCTATCAATAATTGACAGAGGAGAAGATCTTTTACAAGAAAATCCACATAAAGAGTATGGCACAGATGACATAAGTTTATTAAATTTACTGAAAGGTCTATGCCTGAAATACTTAGGCAAATACGAAAAGGCTGAGTATTACTTTCATCGTGTCATTCAAAAGGAGAAATTGTTGAAATATGACCACTATTTGGTGCCATATACTTATTATGAACTGGGAATCTTACACTATCTAAAAGGAGACTATGCCAGTGCAACGAAAAACCTACACAAAGTAAGAAATTACAAAGACTATTCCATGGAAGCCCGATTACAGTTTAGGACTCACATAGCCCTTCAACAAATAGCTAAAGAAAAATGATTTAAACGCCAAGTGTGGTTTTGTTTAGCGTAAGTGAAATATCTACAGTGAGTAGTAATTAACAGGTAGAAAAATCATTTCTTTGTGGAAAAAAATCCAAGAGGTAGCTGCCAAGAATCTGATCAGTAACGAGAAAGGAATTGGCCATGACTTTTCCCTCTTTCTTTCTCATACCTATAAAATGCAATGTCTTAAGGGCAAATGAGGTGAAGCACATTTTTGGAAAAATAAAAGGCAAATGATGTACATTAAAAAAATCTCTCCTATATTACAAATTTGTCAATTATATTAGAAAACATTTTCAAAACCTCAAAACATTTTTAACAATCTCGCTAGGTAACATATACAGCTCACTATGCTAGGGATCCCAGTACCCTATACATATTTTTATTTAACTGTGTTTTTTTTAAAAAAAAAAAAAAAAAAGACTTCCGCTCTCAGCCTTAGCGCCACCTTCTTGGAAACTGCTGTGCCATGAGCCAAGTGGAGGAAGAAGCAAATCCGCAGGCTGAAGTGCAAAAGAAGAAAGATGAAACAGAAGTCCATGTAAACCACTAGCTTGTGTACCCAGAAACATGAAATGTCAGAGGCTGGTACAATTTGCTGGACTGCATGCCACTGTCTAGAACTTGTCTAAGTGGATCTAGAGCTTCCATTGCCATCTGATCATGGAAACCACCTCTGAGACCCACCTTGCTCATAACCAAAACAGCCCATGTTGGTTCTTTGCCTTGGGCCTGTGACATTCTGGACTGTTTCTGTGTTCACTTGTGGCTGAGTGTAACAAGCATACAATAAATCACCTCTTCTGCTGTCTTAGCTGAAGAATTAAAAAAAAAAAATTCTAAACAGTGATGCACTGAATGGCACAGACTCTGAATGATTTTCCCTTATACACAATCATTTTTATTGGCTTTTTATACCAGAGGGGATTGTCCGCCCTGTGTGATCAGTAATATTTCTTACCCTTTTTGTAATAAGAAGCAAAATGTGAGTTTACAGTTTGCCACAGGATAGAGAAGAAAGCCCTCTCCTTTTTCTACACACACATAAGGCCAAGAGGATAGATACATGGCTGTTGGAGGAAGAGTTTGGTTACCATGTAGTCCTCCCTTCAGTCATCCTCCCTAAGGTGTAATTCTCAATAAGACCAGCTCTTCAACATAATTAAACTGATTGCATCAATCCACTGTGAGTGGGTTAATCTGAGAGTAAATAGCAGCTGTAGGGATGGGGCTTGGTATTATTTTACCTGCCTTAGGGATAAAAAAAAAAAAATGACCTAATTTCCAGGTCATTAAGTCTGGCTGAGTGTATCTTCCTCGTTGTCACCCTTTGAAACAGAAGTTGCTAGAAAAGCGTAGCTTGCTAAAAACACGTCAACAAAACATACTACCTTAATACTTAGGGTATCCAAACAACCAACTAAAACAAGATGCAGAGCTAGTATTTCAAGGTTTAGCAATGTGTGCTTTTAAAAACATTTTTCTCATAAATTAAAAATAGACTTTGAAGTGAACAATTGTGCTTGAGTTATTCTTTATTATTTAATTAGTATAGTTATACTGGTTAAGAGGGCAGGTTCTGGCCTGGTTACCTGAATTTGTATCCTAATTCTGCCACTTACTAGTTGTGTGTGGCCTTGGGCCTCTGTACCTCAGATTCCTTGGATATAAAATTGGGATACTAAGTAGTATCTGTCTCGTAGTTTTGCTATGTTAAGATTGAGCTAATAAGATCGGCCGCAGTGGCTCACACCTGTAATCCCAGCACTTTGAGAGGCTGAGGTGGGTGGATCAAGAAGGAGATCGAGACCAGCCTGGCCAACATGGTAAAACCCCATTTCTACTAAAAATACAAAAATAGCTGGGGGCATGGTGGCACACACCTATAGTCCCAGCTACTCGAGAGGCTGAGGCAGGAGAATCGCTTGAAACTGGGAGGCGGCCGGGCGCGGTGGCTCAAGCCTGTAATCCCAGCACTTTGGGAGCCCGAGGTGGGTGGATCACAAGGTCAAGAGATCGAGACCATCCTGGTCAACATGGTGAAACCCCATCTCTACTAAAAATACAAAAAATTAGCTGGGCATGGTGGTGCGTGCCTGTAATCCCAGCTACTCAGGAGGCTGAGGCAGGAGAATTGCCTGAACCCAGGAGGCGGAGGTTGCGGTGAGCCGAGATTGCGCCATTGCACTCCAGCCTGGGTAACAAGAGCGAAACTCCGTCTCAAAAAAAAAAAAAAAAAAAAAAAGAAACTGGGAGGCGGAGGTTTGCAATGAGGTGAGATGGCACCACTGCATTCCAGCCTGGGCAACAGAGCAAGTCTCAAAAAATGAAAAATAAAATAAAAAGGGTACTAGGTAGAGTTTCCAGATAGCTGAACATGTAGAGATTCCTGGACGGTGGTGCACCCAGGGAGGGCACAGATGCTCCATGTCCTGTCCCCCATATGCATTTTTGTTTTTTTTTTTTTGAGGAGGAGGAGTTTCACTCTTGTTGCCCAGGCTGGAGTACAATGGCGTGATCTTGGCTCACTGCAACCTCCACCTCTCAGGCTCAAGTGATTCTCCTGCCTCAGTCTCCCCAGTAGTTGGGGCTACAGGCACACACCACTACACCTGGCTCATTTTTGTATTTTTAGTAGAGATAGAGTTTCACCATGTTAGCCAGGCTGGTCTCAAACTCCTGACCTCAGGCAATCCGCCCACCTTGGCCTCTCAAAGTGCTGGGATTACAGGTGTGAGCCACCAGGCCCAGCCCCTTATATACATTTCTTCATATGTATTCTTTATAATATTGTTTATAAATAACTGGTAAATGTTGGGTCAGGTAGTGATTGATATAGGAGTATTGAGCTTGAAAGAATCACAACTGGCCCAATATGCAGAAAAAATAGAAGCCAATGGCATTGCTGTCATTGCAACTTTCTTTTCAGACCATGAAACAAAGATGCCCTGATTAATTTCCTAATGGAGGCAGCTGCTGCTACCCCTGCATTGCCATTTTATTGCTATCACGTTCCTACCTTGACAAGGGTAAAGATTTGTGCTGAGAAGCTGTTCGATGGATTCAGCATAAGAGCCCCGCTGACTTTTTTTTCTTGAGATCGTCTGGCTCTCGCCCAGGCTGGAGTGCAGTGGCACTATCATGGTTCACTGCAGCCTCTGCCTCCTGGGCTCAAACAATCCTCCCACTTCAGCCTCAAGAGTAGCTAGGACTACAGGCATGTGCCACCACACCCAGAACAAATGTATTTTTTGTAGAGATGGGGTTTCACCATGTTGCCCAGGCTGGCCTTGAACTCCTGAGCTCAAATGATCTGCCCATCTTGGCCCCTAAACCGCTGGGATTACAGGTGTGAGCCAGTGTGCCCAGCCAAGAGCCCTACTTTGTAAAGGCTGAAATTCAGTGACACAGATCTTAGACTTCAGGCATGTGTTGATCAGAATCACCAGCAATAGTTTGCCTTCCTTTTGAGGGTGGTTGAGCAACTGTTGGGTGCTCTGGTGATGGGAGCAACTGGAGCAGAGGGCAGATTTGTATCCAGAGATTTATCAACTTTTTGGTCAAACTAGGCTTTCTAGTGTTACAGATCAGGAGTCATCATGACTCTGGTCCCTGCGGTGGAAGGAGGCCCATCCCAGCTTCCACTGCAGAAAGCCGCTAGGGAATTTACTGATAGTGCTGCAGCTTAACTAAAAAGCTTGGATTTTTCTCTCTTTCACTGGTATAAAAGATGGAAACTTGGAAACCTGTAGCCAGTGTCTGTATATCCAGTCAGGGTGTGTACATTGAGACACAATCCACCCTAAATAGTGCATGCTTTTCTCAGGGACTTTTTAGACAAACTTGAACTGAACTCTCTCCTAGCAAATGAAATCTTGACTCAATCAACAGATATTTAAATACTTACTATGAGCCTAAGAAAGTTTTATTTTGTGAAGGGGCAAAAACTTGAAAGAATCATGAGCCCTAAGTAATTCATTTCACAAATTTTTTGTATAGCAATTTCTGTTTATGTGGATGAAATGGAATCAAGAGGAAAACTGTAATGATTAATTCCATCTGTGTTTGGGAGCTGGAATTAATCAATTACAGTTATCTTGATTTCTAGTTCTTAATCTGATTTTAAAGTTTTCTGCTAGGGGTGGAGGCGCACACCTGTGGTCCCAGCCACTTCAGTGGCTGAGGTGGGAAGATCAGTTGAGCCCAGGAGTTTGAGGCTGCATTGCACTCCAGCCTGGGTGACCATGAGACCCAGTCTTTCAAAAAAAATTTTTTTTTAATTTCTAATTTTAAATCACTATAATGTACATTTTTTTTTTTTGGTGGTGGTGGGGGAGAAGATAATTTCATCTTAATAAATATCCATTTGGAATCTAGGTAACATTAGCTACAACATTTAGGCAGGTGCTTTAAAACTAAATTATAACATGACTCAACTATATGCGACTAGGAATCCATCAGCTCATTTGGCTGTTCAGTCTAACTCTATAGCGGATGCTTTCAGATTAATTGCAACGTCACTGTTTTCTCCCAATACACTGCCATAGGACCAACAGGTTTGTGTGCCCACTGCACAGTAACAGATCCATTACATGGAGACAGCAAGGATATGGCCGAGAGTTTAATGATGGCAGGGCGCTGATTGAGGAGATGGGAAAAGACCCATCTCTCCAAGGAGTTCTGGGCTTGGTGGTTGTTTTTTGTTTTTTTTTGTTTGTTTGTTTTTTTAGGAGTGGGAGTTTCGCTCTTGTTGCCCAGGCTGGAGTGTAATGGCGCAATCTTGGCTCATTGCAACTTCTGCCTCCCGGATTCCAGAGATTCCCCTGCTTCAGCCTCCCTAGTAGCTGGAATTACAGGCCTCCACCACAACGTCGGTATATTTTTAGTAGAGACGGGGTTTTATCATGTTGGCCAGGCTGGTCTCGAACTCCTGACCTCAGGTGATCCACCCACCTCAGCCTCCTAGAGTGCTGGGATTACAGGCGTGAGCCACTG